AGCTCACAGACCAATCAGGAAACAGTCGAGTACATCAAGAAGAAGCTCAATGAGAATCTGTCTGCAGAGAGAAGCATCAATCTGTTCCACTGTCTGAATGAACTGAATGATCGTTCTCTAGTGGAGGAGATCCAACAGTCCCTGAGATCAGGAAGTCTCTCCACAGATGAACTGTCTCCTGCTCACTGGTCAGCTCTGGTCTTCATCTTACTGTCATCAGAAGAACATCTGGACATGTTTGACCTGAAGAAATACTCTGCTTCAGAGGAGGCTCTTCTGAGGCTGCTGCCAGTGGTCAAAGCCTCCAACAAAGCTCTGTAAGTCAATGAATACTTGTGTGTTTAGAAATTATTGAGTACATTATACATATTTATAGAGATGACAATGAAAATATTTTGTCATTCATAACGAATTGTTCTACAGTCTGAGCAGCTGTAACCTCTCAGAGAGAAGCTGTGAAGCTCTGTCCTCAGTTCTCAGCTCTCAGTCCTCTAGTCTGAGAGATCTGGACCTGAGTAACAACGACCTGCAGGATTCAGGAGTGAAACTGCTTTCTGATGGACTGAAGAATCCACACTGTGAACTGGAAACTCTTGGGTTAGTATTAAGAATGAGCATTTCACATAAAAAGTCATTCACGTCAAGAAATTTTCAGTTTCATCAAAACAGAAGTCTTCTCATGATTCTACCTGTATTTTTGTATGAATGTCAAACACAAACATTCACAGACAAATTTAAGTAACTATTACTCACAGCAAAGTGATGACACAGTGCACAGCCACATTATTCCTGATCAATGTTGTCAAAATTTGTACATTTCACTTTTCAGGCTGAGCAGCTGTAACCACAACCTACAAAAATACAGCTCTCTCAGCTCTCAGTCCTCTAGTCTGAAAGATCTGGACCTGAGTGGCAACAACCTGCAGGATTCAGGGGCGAAGCGGCTTTCTGCCAGACTGAAGAGTCCACACTGTGAACTGAAAACTCTCAGGTCAGAATACAGCTATGTGTTTTCAAATCAAGAGCAAATGAGCAATTTCCCATGTCCGTAGTGACATTGCATGACATTATCCTGCTGGAAATGGCCCTAGTATGATGGGTGGACACTGGCCAGAAAGGAATGTGTATGGTCAGTAGCAACAGTCAGGTACGTCCACTGCAACCAGTCAGTTTGATTGGAGATACAATCTTTAGCTGAGGTTTCGGAGCAGGACCACACTTCAAGCACTCCTCCTTCCAGTCGTGCGTCTGAACACCACTCTGCCTTTCCCACTTGTTCATTCTCACTTCTCATGCACAGAGCAACACACGCCATTGTTCAGCCACACTACCAGTCTGACGTTTTAGAAAAACTCCAACTTAATATGGATCACTCATTCATCAGTCCTCGATGAGGGAACATTTGATGGGATGGGCATTGTTCTGGAAATACCATTAACCGTGTCGCCCGTCCCAAAGAGATGAGCACAGTCAGAATTTCTCTCTCCACTCTCCAGTCACATCAGACACTCCTCATCCGATCCCAGTCACAACCAGGGAGGCTCTTCCCAGGAAGACCAAAATGTAATTACTCCCTTCTCAACTTCTACTTACTCCAGCACTGATGCCCAAAGCAGGCGAGCGTCCAGAGAAAAGATTGGCGCGCACCCACGCTCTAAACAGATCTTCTGGCGATGTCCCTAATTGTGAAATCTACGACTGGACCTTTGTGGGTCTTCAAAGAGCACTAAGAGAAAAACTTCACCAGCCACCATGCTGACAACAAAGTTAAACTATTCCAAATTCTTTCATAGTCGCAGGTTAAATAAACCACAACATTCCTCTCCTCGAGATGGCGCAGCACAGCGGTTTTTGGCCACGGGCCCACTCACCTTTCCTCCCTGTTAGGAAAATTCTTCAGTGGAGTCCCAACTGCTCCAAATCAGTGCACAGAGTCGTCTCTTAAGTCAAAGCAAAGTTTTACTTGCAGCAAGGAATCACATGCACAGTACAGATTCTAAACAAGTGCAGAGTCAAGAAACGTAGCATTTATGCAGGCATACAAAGAACAAGTGACATCAGAGTCAAGAAATGTAGTATTATACAGGCATTCAAAAGATTTCTCCTCTGCCTCCATCTGCTGAGCACAGGCTTGGTTACTTGTTGCAAGTTCTGTGCACACGATCTTTCACGGCCTTCTGTATTTCAAGAGTTGGACAAAGAGCATTGAATCATAACACATAACACTGAATTTTACAACACTCCCTTAAAACTAAGCTAAAGCTTTTCCTTCCTCATCTGGCAACGGGCTGCCAGCTCTCTCGCCATCAACACCAGGTTGCCAGGTCCTCCCTTCCATCCCCCATTCCCTGCAACATCTCTCTCTCTCGCTATCGGCAGCGGCATGCCAGTTCTTCTCCTCCATCCCTCATTATCAGCAACTGCTCTCTTTTTCTCTCACTAATGGCATTAGTATAGTATGATAAGAATTTGATAACCTGATTCTATTTCTCAACATAGCCCTCCATCTTGGAGACACAGGCATCTATCATTCTACACTGGTGGTGTAGTCTCCGATCAGACTCCGTGTTGGTGTAGTATGTCCAAATCACAACCGATCACCGTAATTTTAGCAACATTCAAAAAAATCACCCCTTTACAGCTGTCATTAACTGGAAGACCAGCAATAGAGACCAACAATGTTCTTGTAGGCTGGCTGTAAACATTTTTATTTCTGCTGTAAAGTTGAACGTTGTAACTGTCACAATTTCACACACAAAGGCTCAAGTGTAGACAAAATGACATGACCTCCAAACAGTTGAAATCAATGCATAAGATTTATTCACAAATACAAATACGAATGTGAAACAAGGTAACAAACAAATCGGCAATATAAACTACCGCTAACGAATACTTACTCTAAGTAAATTTATCAAAACGTCCTCGAAAGGACGACTAAGTAAATTTACAGATTTAAAATCAAACTAACCACGATGAATACAGACCTAATACTAATACTACTAATTGAGTAGACGAGAGACTGGGAGGAGACGGAGGTGGACCAGATGACTTTAACGGAGGGACACTGTGGATATGGAGAACTGGAGCCAGAAGAATCCAACGGTGTGGAGTCAGGCATGAGTAGTGGATCTCAAAGGCAGCAAGTGTGGTGAAACTGGAGCACAGGAGAATAATGTCAGGAGCAGAATCAAAGGCAATAGGCAGAGAATAGGAATGAACACACAACTAACTTGGGTTTTACTATGATCCGGCATCGGCTTGTGACTTGCTGGCATCTTATATGGTGAGTGTAGGTCTGAGGAGTGAATGGCAAGCCACGCCTCGCTGCAGCTGGAGCAATCAGCTGATTGCCAACTCAAAGCACTTGGTTCCTCGTCACTCCAGCATGTTGCATAACACAAAAGCAAAACCAAAAATGCTCCACTAGGTGGAGCCAAAGTCAGAGGTCATGTCAGTAATAAGCATCTTTGGGGATCCACTTGGGTTTGGAACCAGCCTCAAGCGGCTGCTCGAGGAACTACAGGCAATTCTATATTGGCTTCACCTTTCAGTCCCTGGGGTTGCCATTTGGTTATGTATTAAGTGATACACATCTGCATAGCACAGTTGCATGATTGTTTTTTTTAACAGTTGCTGATCCCTTGATCTCAGTTTGAACTATTAGTCTCCTTTGATCTCTCACTACTTACTTTTAGTGCGACATTGGGAGAAAACTGTGTGTGTGTGTGTGTGTGTGTGTGTGTGTGTGTGTGTGTGTAGTCTGTCAGGTTGTCTGGTCACAGAAGAAGGTTGTGCTTCTCTGGCTTCAGCGCTGAACTTCAACCCCTCCCATTTGAAAGAGTTGAACCTGAGTAACAACAACTTGCAGCTGCAGGAGCCGGGAGTAAAGCAGCTTCTTGGTCTACTGGAGGATCCTCTTTGGAGACTTGACACTCTCAGGTATGGACAGACACTACGCTCTCATACAGTTCATTTGAAACAGTAATATTTTAAAGATGGAACATTCTTGAAAAAAGTATTGCTACAGAGTGTCTCACGTGTATAAAGTTAGAAGTGTTTCTCCCTGGACTAAAGGGCCATACTTGAGGGTTGTTTGTAAAGTCTGCTGTCATGGAGAGAGGCAGGACATGATGACTTCCACAAATGCTAAAAATGCGCTTTCTTTTTTTTTTTTTTCTCGCTCAAAAACATAAGAAAAAAGATCTGACTTCTTTTTTCAAANTCCACAGATGAACTGTCTCCTGCTCAGTGGTCAGCTCTGGTCTTCATCTTACTGTCATCAGAAGAACATCTGGACGTGTTTGACCTGAAGAAATACTCTGCTTCAGAGGAGGCTCTTCTGAGGCTGCTGCCAGTGGTCAAAGCCTCTAGCAAAGCTCTGTAGGTGGATTAATGAACCATTTCAAATATGTTTAACTTTGTACATGACAAATAAAACTTTATGTTTGTGTTCTTTGTTAATTCTTCCTCAGGTTGAGCAGCTGTAACCTCTCAGAGAGAAGTTGTGAAGATCTGTCCTCAGTTCTCAGCTCTCAGTCCTCTAGTCTGAGAGATCTGGACCTGAGTAACAACGACCTGCAGGATTCAGGAGTGAAGCTGCTTTCTGCTGGACTGAAGAGTCCACACTGTGAACTGGAAACTCTCGGGTCAGTTTTAAGAATGAGCATTTTACATTAAAAGTAACTGTCAGTTTCTTTAAAACTGAAGTTTTCTCATGATTCTACCTGTATTTTTGTTTTGTTATCAGTAAAATACTACAACAAAATATATTTAACAATCTGAATACACATTTTAGATCAGTGCAATGATGCACCTATCTATTAAAGCTGGATTTCAAACACAAACATTCACAGACAAATTTAAGTAACTATTACTCACAGCAAAGTGATGACACAGTGCACAGCCACATTAGTCCTGATCAATGTAGTCAAATTTGTACATTTTACTTTTCAGGTTGAGCAGCTGTAACCTCTCAGAGAGAAGCTGTGAAGCTCTGTCCTCAGTTCTCAGCTCTCAGTCCTCTAGTCTGAGAGATCTGGACCTGAGTGACAATGAACTGCAGGATTCAGGAGTGAAGCTGCTTTCTGATGGACTGAAGAGTCCACACTGTGAACTGAAAAGTCTTGGGTCAGTATTAAGAATGAGCATTTTACCTAAAAACTCATTCACATCAAGAAATTTTCAGTTTCATCAAAACAGAAGTCTTCTCATTATTCTACCTGTATTTTTGTTTTGTTATCAGTAAAACACTACAACAACATACATTTAACAATCTGAATAAACATTTTGGACCAGTTCAATGATGAACATATTTGTTAAAGCTTACTGTTGAACACAAACATCCACAGACAAACTTACATAACAATTACTCAGCAAAGTGATGACACAGTGCACAGCCACATTATTCCTGGTCGATGTTGTCAAATGTGTGCATTTCACTTTTCAGGATGAGCAGCTGTAACCTCTCAGAGAGAAGCTGTGAAGCTCTGTCCTCAGTTCTCAGCTCTCAGTCCTCTAGTTTGAAAGATCTGGACCTGAGTAACAACAAACTACAGGATTTAGGAGTGAAGCTGCTTTCTGATGGATTGACGAGTAAACACTGTGAACTGGAAACTCTCAGGTCAGAATACAGCTGTGTTGTGTTACTGTCACTAAAAGTGGTCACGCCCTTACAAGGGTTCTTCAAAAAGTTCTTGGCCTAACAAGGTGTTAATGCCCATATTAAGGCATAACTGTATACTATAAAGCCTTGTTTCACTGTTCACAAAAACTCCATCCATCCATTATCTACACATTGCTTAATGATCTGTAGGGTCGCCAGGGGCTGGAGTCTATCCCAGCTGACTTAGGGTGAAGGCAGGGTACACCCTGAACAGGTCACCAGTCTAGGGCCACATAGAGAGACAGACAATCAAGCACACTCACACTCACAACTGTGAACAATTTAGAATCACCACTTAATCTTAGCATGTCTTTGGAGGAAGCCAGAGCAACCGGTAAGAACCCACACAGGCCCAGGGAGAATATGCAAATTCCACACAGAAAGACCCCGGGCAGGTAAGCAAACCCAGGACCGTCTAGCTGTGAGGCAACAGTGCTAACCACTGCATACTGTGCCGTCCCCACAAAAGCTCAATGTTAAAACATTCAGAAAAAATCAAGGAAAGCTTCTACCTGGCTGCTGTTGCTCCAGGACGGTGTGTCTATCCACACAGCACAAGTGGCAGATGCAGCCAAATGCGGCTTTAAGTTGTTGCCCCATGAACCATACTCACAGGACCTGCAACGTCTGATTCATCTGTTTCCAAAACTGAAGTCCCACTCCATGTTCAGTCATGCATGCTGCTGAGGATCTGGTGGCTCAAGTTGTGACCTTCTGCAAAGGGATTGTGAAACTTGAACATTGATGGACCAAGTACACTGAAGTTAAAAGACACTATGTTGACATGTAAAGCAAGAACGAACATTCTCCTGTGATATTTTCTGATGAGGCCGAGAACTTTTTGAAATACCCTTGTAATTATGCATGACTTTAGGCCTTAATGCAATTTAAAAGGTTGAGGTATATAATAAAAAAAAAACCTTTACAGCTGTCGTTAACAGGAAAACCAGCAATAGAGACCAACAATATTTTTGTACAAGGATGTAAACATTTTTATTTCTGCTGTAAAGTTGAACGTTGTAACATGGTGATCTTTGGGGATCAACTTGGGTTTGGAGCCAGCCCCAAGGGGCTGCTCGAGGAACTACAGGAAATTCCATATTGGCTTCACCTTTCAGTCTCTGGGGTTGCCACTAGGTTATGTATTAAGTGATACACATCTGCATAGCACAGTTGCATGATCTTTTTTTTTTTACAGTTGCTGTTCCCTTGATCTCAGTTTGCACTATTAGTCTTCTTTGATCTTTCACTACTTACTTTTAGTGCGTCATTGTGAGAAAACTGTGTGTGTGTGTGTGTGTGTGTGTGTGTGTGTGTGTGTGTG